ATAATGCCAAAGAAACCTAAAAAATCCTACGATGAGCTATGAAAAATCTGTGGACATCATTAAATAGATCTCCTATATTTGTGTTTATATCATCAGTGAAACGCTTATAGCAAGGCCTTTAGCGAATATTGGCAACTTTTAATCGAATATGGTGCTAGAATTTCATAGAAACATACAGTATTTTGAGATTTTGGGACCATTATCATGGAGACGAAAAATCTGGTTTGTCAATTCGATGAAATTTGTGGAGACCTGTTTGCTACACGAGTGTGAGAGTTGAAATATTTCTTGGAATGAATATTGACAGATTCAACAAAAGGAATTCCAGGATTTCTTTGGATTTTTCGAAATTGTAGGAGAACGCTTCGAGATATAGTTTATTCAAATTACCATTTGATAGAACATGAAATTTCATTAGGAACATGCGCATGCGCGTTGGAACATCAGCTCACAAGAGTATCGATAGGTTTTACTCGAATACGATACTAATTTCACTTACGTGTGAAAATCACGATTTTACTCCATCAAAAGTAGCACAATCTTACTACACTGTAAAAAATATCCGTAGAATAAAAAACGAAAAAAGGGTTTATGAGGCCTTTATAAACCCTTTCATAAACCCTACAAAAAGGGATGAATATGGAGTTTATGGTTTGCTGAAACTAATTCTGAAGGGTTTATGAATGGGTTGATAAATTTTATAAATCCTAAAAGGGTTTGCTATACGTTGCACTATCATAAACCCCTTAGAAGGGCTGATAAAAATACAATACCCAACGTTCAACCTCAGAAGACTCATTTGGAAGTGCTTATGGAGGTTATGAATGGTCGAAAAGGTTTATGAAAGGGTATATGAGATGGAAGATGAATCTCTTCAACTGATTCAAGGGTTTATAGAAGACTATATGAGTGGGTTGATTGATTTCAATTATTCTGATTGTGTATAATATTTTCTCCTCCTCCTCCTATGTGTTAACGTAATAATTATGTTGTTTACTATTTAATTTATTGAAGTTTCGATCGATGAAATCAATCTTCTTCAGAATAAAATAGGAAATGAATACAGAAAAAGTTGTTTTACTGATGACTCATCCAATTGTCAATTTTTTCTTTATTTTCTTTATAAATATTACAGTACTTGTACGGAAAAGACGCTATATACTAGAACTTGTTTTTTTTTATATTTAGTTGTCCGTAGTACTGTAATATAATATTTATAAAGAAAATAAAGAAAAAATTGACAATTGGATGAGTCATCAGTAAAACAACTTTTTCTGCATTCATTTCCTATTTTATCCTGAAGAAGATCGATTTCATCGATCGAAACGTCAATAAGTTAAATAGTAAACAAGAGAATTACCAAGCATACGAAGAGAAGAGAAATTTGAGAGAGAGAGAGAGAGAGAGAGGATAATTAAATCACCAGAAAATAAAGCAACTTCGTAAAGGATTGCAGTTAGCGGTTTAAAATGAATACACCCAGAAAGCCTCTAAATCCATCTATTTTACTAAGAAACTCCTTAGAATTTCACCCTAAACTCGTAAAATGCTAAAGTAAAATTATCATATGATCCTTCTGTAATGTTATAATAATCATCTAAACTTCTACTAAATATTGAACTTTTAGTAGTATTAAAGTAGCACTCTTCATGGTTATCATTGCTCGAAGATCCCGTTCCTGGCCTATTTACACACTCATCTATGAAATCGTACAATTGCTTCATTTACTTGCAATAATCTTTGCGTTTGACCATGTTGTTAGGTTTGATTCAAAGAGAACAAGCAAATTTCATTTATAGAGCCATTCATTTGTTTTGAAGATGTTTTTTTGCCAGAATCTAAACGGATAATCAGCAATTGAGTAGGAGAACAGTTCTTATTGAAGGCATTACTAATATTGTCAATGTATTGCTCCCTCTTATATTGAACAGTTATTATTAATTCCACTAATTGAAATTACTGCTTGATACAAATCAATCTTCGCATGAAAAAAGACAATTAAAATATTAAAACGAAAGGCGCACTCACATATGTATATAATAAAGCTTCATTCAATAACCATAGCCATGTTGTATTATAGAAGAAGTTGGAATATCGCACCTCAATAAAGAAAGCTTAGACTTAGTCTACTAAAGGCAACATGATATTCATAAAAGATTAATCAGCATAGTTCAAATGAAGCCTTCTGTTTGAGTAAATGGGTTTTATCGAATCTAATGCATAGCTTTAATAACAATATCTAACTAGTATTGAACCTTGCTCTTCTGAATGCAAATGATGTTTCAATATAGATACTTCTGTACGTTTTACTCGACTAGCAGCGCCCAACTGAAGATTAGGAAATATTAGAAAACATCCTGAATGCTATCCTTCGTAATGCAAATGTGGGATTAAAATAAAAGAAACCGAAACCTACATTAGTATCTGTACTGTAATTTTAACGAGTTTTCTTAATGAAATAGACATCAGGCATAGTTCAAAGCAGCAAGAGTCTCTTTGAATTGTTATTATTGCTATATCGACCAGAAATAATTTTCTTAACAAAGAAATTCTGCTCAGAAATCTGGCTAAATATGCTGCAGTTAGGCAGAAAGAAAACGTTTATTGAAAAATATAAAACTTATCCATATGTGCACAAACCTATCTAACTTATTGTCTTGAAATAAAAGAAATAAAATGTAATTGTAATTATTGTTATATTTTAGTGTGATACTAGCAATAACCTACATGAAAGAATCAACTCATTGAAAAACATTTAGAAATCTCAGCTCTTCTCTTCTTCATTGTTTATCTAAACGAAATCAAACATTCTATTGAGACAAGGTAATAGTCTGATATATGAACCATATTTTTGATGCATTTTTACAAAACGAAAATGTCAGTTATAATTATAATTTAAACTTACCCTCATGATCTTGAATGGTATATGATAATTCTTCAATAAACAAACTTATAATAGCACTTCTTGCGCCAAAGTTGAATATTAATTTTAATCAACTAAAATAAAAAAGATTAGATATTAAAAACCAACAATATATTGAAAACTTTTGTTATTACTTTCCTCAGTAGAAGCGACTTCCAGTAAAATTGTAAATCACGCATACCAAATAAATATGTTGAGAAGCGCAAGCTGAGCAGAACCTGAAAAATAAAAAGCAATTATGCACGACTGCGATCCTAACTATCGCTGATCATCTAAGCAAACAAAAAAAACTAGTAATACAAAATGCATTGAAATAGGAAAATTTTCTAAAGAATTTTCCCCTGGATACAAAAAATATGAACTAAACTGTAACCTACCTTATTTGTCAGCTCGTTCTACGTTTTCAGATGATCGGAAACTGAATTGGTCAAGAAAAACGCCCGGCAATGAAGTTCCTATCTAGTTATTATTATTGATCTGAAAAATAGTTATTTATTAAAAAGAATAGATGAATATTCGAAGAATCTTATCCACAGACACTGCCTTAAATATAAAAAAGATGAGTTCAAACTACAATATACTCACATATTTTGTGGTTGACAGAGAACGATGAAATAATACAGATGGATGAAGGGAGAAAATCTTTGTGAAGAGCTGATTCCATTAGTTGTATCAATCTAAATAAATAAATAAAAATATTAATGAAAACGCATATTGATCTATGATGAATTATTTAAGAAATATTTTCGAATAGAAAAGAGATAGAAGAAATTCTAAATGACACTTACGTGCTAATGTTCCGGTATTTTGCTATGATTAGAAAGTAATTCATCAAGATATAAAAGCACAGATTTAAAGTTTTAACAGTTGTTCTTGTCTATCTGAGAAGAAGCTACTTATAAAATGNCTGGAGCGGAGCTGGAGCGGAGCTGGAGCGGAGCTGGAGCGGAGCTGGAGCGGAGCTGGAGCGGAGCTGGAGCGGAGCTGGAGCGGAGCTGGAGCGGAGCTGGAGCGGAGCTGGAGCGAGTCAGAGTGGAGCGGGAGCGGAGTCGGAGCGGTCTTTTTTTCTCTAGCTCCAACCATACGCTCCTTTTCCACTTATGAGCGATTAAAATTTTGATGAAAAAGATTGATTTTGTTTGTGATTCATGAAAAGTCTTCAGCTGATTTTTATCGATGTGTATAAAGTAATTATAATCAATGAAGTTCATCGAATTTTAATCAATTAGTCGAAATTAATCGGACATTAACCAAAATAATCTATGAAATTTTCATTTGTTTTCGGTTATTGTTTTATTAAAAATCAATAAAAAGCTGTATGCATTTAATTTTTTTTTATCCCTAACACTTTTACATGAGATTTCTTCTGTGAACAAAGACGGAAGAATTCGTACAAGAAAAGCTCGTCATCTACTATACAATGTTATGAACACGTCATTGTTATATTTTAATCAATTGCAATGCTTAAAACAATGACTGACCGTTCATTCAGTCGAGTGTTCTATTGTTGATTGGACTGTGCTATTGTTAGCATGAAAATGTACGAATATGACGACGACGAAGAGAGAAAATTAAAGAAAAGAAACGTGTGAGAAGTGGGTGATGATAGAATAGAACAAAATTTTTCATTGACGAGAAAGTTGAAGAAACAAAATTCTCTATGTCAAAAACAACAAACGATCAATCGTCGTTAGCTGAGCAAGATGATGACTCCAATACATCATCTTCGTCTGTTGTTATCGATGCAAGTGATATATTGCCATCATATAATCACGAAAAAATTGCTAATTCGGTCGTTGAACAATTCTTCTATGAGCTAAAGACTCATGATGACGGAACAAAATCTGCGAAATGCTTATTATGCCATTCTATCGTCAAACAGTCGACAACATCAACTTATAATTATGGACGTCATGTTTATCGCAAACATATGAAAGAAACGAATAAATGGAAGTTAGCACTAGACAGCAAAAAATCGAATAAAAGCACGAAGCAATCAACAGTTCAACAATCATTTGGACAGCGAAGTAGGTTATCATTGGATAACATTACTGAGGAACATTTGTTGATTGTTTTAGTCAATCAGAAATATGGCGCTCACAACCCTCGACAATTAGAACTTCATAAAATGATAGTTCAAGACTTAATAATCGAATTAGGATTACCACTTTATATTGTTGATCATCCAGCATTTTTACGTGCGATGAACACCATTGATCCAAAATTCACTGTTTTGTCTCGACGTACACTTTGTCGTGAAGCAATACCATCTGCTCTTGAACAAGTCATGATAAAGGTTAAACAAGCCTGTAGTGACGCAAAATTCGTCGCACTCACTCTGGATACGTGGTCTGATCGTAGAATGCGAACATTCATTGCAATCACAATGCACACTATTGCGAATAACGATGACAGCTTCCAGGATTATCTTCTTACTTTTCAACCTCTTTCAGGTAAATTGCTGATTAGTACCATAAATCATTAAAAATGTTCATTTCAGGATCACATACAGGTGACAATTTGCGTCGTCAACTCGAAGACGCTATGGCTAACTTTAATATAGAAGACAAGGTGGTTCGAATAGTCACGGACAACGCCTCCAACAACTTAAAGGCATTCGATGAACTTGTAATACCAGGATTTGAAGTTTACTTTGAACCTGAAGACGACGAAGACGAACACGATGATGAAACCGAAAATGACGAACGCGAAGAAAAAGACGAACAAAATAACATGAATGATCAAGAAGAACGTCTTCGTATACCTTGCTTCTCACACACTCTTCAACTTACAGTTGGTGATGGCTTGAAAGAGTGTGGTAATGCAAAACCTGCTCTCGCTAAAGTAGCGACAATTGCAAAACTAAGGTAAAATACTTGATAAAATTTACGAGCAGTGGAAAATTCTGGAAAAATTTATGTTCATTTTTTATTACTATTTAACATTCTAGCCACAAATCAACACTGTTTGCCGAGCATCTACAGCGAGAGAATATCAGTATTCCATTACCTGTGAAGACACGCTGGAATTCACAACATCATACAATTTGCAAAGTTCTTGAAATCTCCCTAACATTACTCAACGATCTTCTACGCAATGTTGGTCGCGCTGATCTTGTTTTGACTGCTCGTGACATCATCATACTCCAAGAATTCGCCAGTATTTTCGCATTATTTGCCGAAGCTACGACTCGTACACAAATTGAAAACTCTGCTTCAATCTCGTTAGTAGCACCTAGTGTTCTTTCAATTTACTATGATCTTGAACATGAACAAGCTAACTGCAAGTACCTTGGATCATTATGTCGTACACTTATTATTTCTCTACACGAACGTTTCGGTGGACTACTTGAACGGTGCGAGGTTTTCGCTGATAGTAATATGAAGATTAAGAAACGTTCTACCAGCGATCTTTACAAAGACGATATTTACTTAATTGCTCCTTTTCTGGATGGTCGTTTCAAGTTAAAATGGGTGGTTGCGTCAAATTTGTCTGAATCGACGAAGGAAAGAACAACAAATATAATAAAGGCACTTTTGTTCAAAGCGGCGCTGCAGTTACACGGTACAACAAATAACACTTCGGATTGTATCATCGAATCGTCTATTACTGAATGCTCGACAACTGACGATGATGGAATGAGCAACTTACCAAATTTCAAGCGCAAGCGACTCTTTTCTGGTTACGAAGGACAAAAAACACCGATGCAGAAGAAACGCTCATGTGTCTCTGAATCAATTGAAAACGAAATTTCAATGTTCGAAAAAGAACTTCTTGATGATACTCGTCTAATATTTTTGAAGAAAGATTCTTATCCATACTTGCATCGACTTGCTACAAGAGTACTTTGCGTACCAGCTACATCCGCTCCAGTCGAGCGGGTGTTTTCATCCAGTGGCATACTCATGCGTCCTCATCGTAGTCGCCTCTCTAAGAATATGCTTTCGATTTTAACTCTACTCAAATGTAATCGAAAATTATTGTAACTCACTAAAGTATTTATCAGAAATAATCTCCACATTGTAAACACACTTACTTAAATGTATTATTAATTGTTGTTTTTCTATTTACTCTATTTATATATATATATATGTGCTAAAATAAAACGAGAAATTCATTGAACATTATCTAACTTTAAGAAAAATAGTAAAACAAGCCTTTTTGTTAAAGTGGAGCTGGAGATGGAGCTGGAGCGGAGCTGGAGCGAGTCAGAGTGGAGCGGGAGCGGAGTCGGAGCGGTTATTTTTGATTCGGACCGGAGCTGGAGCGGAGCTGGAGCGAGAAATGGTCGGAGCTGCCCATCTCTGCTCATAAATGGTTTTCTACTAAACCTACTTTTTTACGAAACCAAAAAAGGTTCTTAGATTGTATCCAGGTGAAAAAACTTTTTAGGTTTGGTAAAGAGCCTTTTTAAGTTCCGTGAAACACCATTTTTTTTTAGAGAGTACTTGTACTTGTCCAATCACTGATCTGAAAAAATAAATCTAATCTTAATTATCACATTTCATCAGTGTTGGAAAAATTACATATGTCATTTCTATAATTTTTTCTATTCACTCTGCTAAAAACTGGAAAAGCAAAAATATTTTTTCAATTTTTTTCAACCAACTATATGACTGTATTATTTTTCCTTTTCAATTTTCCTTTTCATCTTTCTTTTCACCTTGTCAGATAAAAAGAATATTACGCCTTATTCAACTAATTTATATAATTTATTTTTATTTTCATATTTTTGTATACATCTTTTCTGCATATCTTATTTTCAATGTATCTTTTATACATATCTTATCTTCAATGTATCTTTTCTACATATATCCTACTTTTCTATATGTCGTATGTTGCTTTCTATATAAATTGTTTTCTGTACAATTTTTTCTATATATTCCTTCCATCTATCCGACAATGTTCAACTGAAATCGGGCATTATTCATCGCTTGCAAAAGATTAAAATTCGAAAGACCTCGCATTACATATAAACTTAATTTAAATATTTTATTTTCCTTTATTATTCTCTTTTGATTCTCTTCTTGTTCCTCTTTTTCTTTTGTTCCTTTTCTTCTTGTATGTTTTGCAAAATACTACTAAAATTAAATAATTTAATAATTTAAAAAAATAATATATACATTATGTGAGAATATTTGATAGTGGGTATAATTAGAGCAAGAATGAAGTGTATTACTCGAGCAGATGTCATATTAGTAAAATGAATCATACTAAAAGTGTAAAATAAAATGCTTGACATTGTGCCTGATGATGATTCCAGTGGGATATCGAAAGCTCACACATTCTTCTTCAATAAATAAACTTTCATGCTGAAGATATGATCTTTACGGCTTAATACATACCCATTTGTAACGCTCACAGTTAAGAATGACTATTATTTTGTCCTTACTATGTGTTTTGTCCGTATTATGGATTTTATCTTTTCTCAATGTTTTGCATTTATATTGATGCCCTTAGCGTTTGTCCTTGACAGTCATCAGCTTTCATTCTCTCGGATGGTTGAGTATTTTGAATGTGTGATTTTTGTGTAATCGGCACGATTCATGATATGAAGAAATGAAATAAAGCATAGCTCCTTCAATGCAAGCAGTTCTTCTGTCAGAAATCGTCACACTCTTATTCATTTCATTACTATATGCTTAAAAATAAAAAAGTTATACTTTCATAATTTATTCTAAAATTCATGTTGACTTGTTAAATTGAAATAAACGCACGTTTTTCATATAACCGCCCCTTCAGCCGAGAGAAAAAGAAGAAATTTGTTGACTATAGTGTAACGATTTTGTGTCGTCACACAACTATTTATTTGGAAACATAGAAGATACACACGTACATCTAAAAGAACTCCCTTTCAAACATTCTTCCCATTCCTTTTATATGGTGAGAGGAATGTCCTTAAGCAGTGTTGGCTCACAGCGTTATCATTTAGATACGAACGTAATAATAACAACACAACCTTGAAGAGAAGGTAATACTAACACAGATAAGAAACTAATCAAGCATAGATGAGGAGTTAATGATAACATAACAAATAGGCAAGGACACTCTTTTGTACTCATTAAGTGTAAACTGTTTCTTGAGGACAAAAGAGTGGCACATACAGTCCTTCATATGTGATTACCTACACGTGTTTCGTGAAGGTAAGTTATCTGACAAATTGATTTATACTCTTCTCTCTTCATACATTGTTACTCGTAACGTTCGGTACCTGTAAGATAAGAGAAACAAGTTATGCAAAGGCTTATCTATCACATGATGTGCTTCTCTTTTAGTTAAGTACAAAGAACAAGGGGGAAACAGCAGACTTTTGAACTTCAAGTTACTTTCAGCTACTTCAAGTAGTTTACTTTGAAGTACTTTTCAATTTCAGATTTACCTGAAGTACTTGAGATTACTTCAAGCTACTTCAGCTACTTGGTCCTACTTTAAACTACTTCAAGCAGTCCACTTTGACGTACTTTGATGTACTTTGACGTACTTTTCTACTTCAAGTCTGCCGTTCCCCCCTTGACAAAGAATGACAATTCATGCATCAGTGATCACTGCAGTAAAAGAGATATGAAACATGCGCTCTTTACATTTTTATTGCTTTTTATTTTCGTTTACATTTACAATAAGCGCATTTATTCATTCTTCTTCGACATCGATAGTGTTTTGGACATTATTTAACGGTAGATACTCTTATATTAAAGTTCACTCATAATAAACGACCTCGATCCTCGATATTAGGAGACTTCCTGAGAAGCGTCGCTCCGTATCAATTTTGTCTTTTTATAACAAAAAGTTGCTCCAGGTTTGACGGGTCCTAATGGAAGATCATGGGATTTCTATCACAAGAGGGATTACGCTTTAGTTTGTTTACGACATTCAAATGATATCTTTTCGTATCAGAAACTCGTTTCATTACACTGATAAAAAAATCCGGGTAATGATTTACCCCTGCGCTTACAACACTCTCCAATAAACTCTTGAAGGGTTTATTCCGATGTGATGAACCCTTTTAGCGTTTATTAGTCGAAGGGTTTATGAAAACGCAAGGGGTATATGATGGGTACATAAGGATTCATTATTTTACGACTTTAAGATAAGAGTATATCCTTCAATGGATGATAGTAGATTGTTTTTCGCTTTCAAGGTAGGAGTATCTTATTCTTCGTTATCGGGTTTACTATTTTACTTTTTCGTTAAAATGGTACATCACTCTGCCTTTCTGGGTAGAGTAAGCTATCCTTTCTCAGAAACAGTTCATTATTCTACGCCTAAAGGTAGATTCTGCTACCATTTCCTGCCAAGGGTTTAGTATTCCACGTTCAACAGTTGATTCATCTACATCTTAGTAAAAAAAAGGGTTTAGTACTGTACGTGAATGCTCGATTCGATGCCTCTTCATTGACAGATTTTTTATTCCACTGACAAATATCGGCTTATCTACCTTAGCATCTCGCGGAATATTTTCATCGTCGGTTGATGGTTGATTCTACTTCTCTTTTCTTGAACGAAGTTCATTATTCATCGTACAGGGGTTGATCTTTCCGCTCTTTTGTTGAAAGGGTTTACCATTCTACGTACAGAGATCGATTGTTCTACTGTTTGATCGGAATTGTTTATTACTCTACGCACATGGGCTGATTATTTTACCTTTGCATCAAAAATGGTTTCTTAGAGTGTCGGTGTGAGGGTCTGGGTCTGATTAGTGTTATTTTATACAGTCACCCACGCGCTAACCTGATGAAAAGAAATAGTAAGATGCCCATCGTTTTCTTTTTGTACTGGTCAAAACCGAAAGGAAAATATGGATTACTTATCTGGTAAACTTGCGGTGTACATGAAACAATGTTTTGATATGCGAAAATAAGAAGTAGCGCAATTAGAGTCACACTTCATTGGCCCAGGTAAACATTTTATGTTAGAGGAAAAGAGAAAATATGTAACGCCTGCATATATAAAGTAATACCTCTTGCAGACTCGCATTAAAAAAATAAGCATTTTGATATCGGCTGGTAGGTAGTCTTATTCGATCATCGATATTTTTACATTAGCCATGTGTTTGATTTTTACAATATAGCCGTGTAGATAATAATGACAGCAAAAATGAGGAAAGATAAAGATGCATTTTTGTGTTTAATATGAAGATATTGCAAAAAACTGAGATAGAAAGTGTTACAGGGGTCGCACTGTAACTTAAATCAATTCACAAAATAGAAATTTATGTTTCTATTTAACCAATCAACAACAAATTTCCTATTTTAGATTCCTAATCTGAATCTTAGCCTTTTCTTTATTATTATTATTTTTTTCTATTTATACTATACAACCCACACACACAAAAGAGAGAGAGAGAGAGAGAGAGAGAGAGAAAAAAGAAACAAAGAAAGAAAAGACGTTTGTTTCTTCGACTAGACTATTTTGTATATAAAGATGATGGTGCATCATTCTATAAATGCACTTAAATTCCAGTCGAAGAAACGATGCCATAATTTACGTCGTCACGCACTGGAGAAAAGAAGACACAATAGAGAGATATGCAGAGAAAGGAAAAAAGAAATGAAAAAGAGCGGTTGACTTATGTGCATCTCAAGTTGGATTGCACATATAAGAAATGTATAACGTACAAAGACGAAACAAGAATGTATAAGAATAAATAAAAAAAATAAAAAAAAACTTGTTAGAGTACTCTCTAATAGGGGTGGACCATTTTTTTTAACGGAACTTTATTAATGACATTAATTAATGATTTCCATTAGCCATTAATATTAACGGTTAATGTTTTCTGAGAAAAACTTAATTCATTAATATTAATGATTAATGAAAAACATTAACATTAATTTTAAAATTAATGTTTTCATTAATGATTAATATTAATGTCAATGTTCTTGAACGATATTAACGGTTAACGGAAACATTCACCATTAGTATGAATAGTAATGTTTTCGTTAATATTAGGGATTATATTTTCATTAATCATTAATATTAATGTTAATGT